AAAAAAAGAGAGAGAGAGATGAGGTCTCGCCAAGGTGCTCAGGCTGATCTCGAACCCGTGGGCTCAGGCAATCCTCTCACCTCAGCCTACCAAGGTGCTGGGATTACAGACATGAGGCATTGTGCCCGGCCCCTAACGCCTAATCTGAACAATGTGGGGAGCACTGTCAGCCTACGGATGTGTTTGATTTGTCTTAAATCTAAGTGACTTGACAGCATTTAAAAACTGGGAAATTAGCCAGGTGCGATGGTATGTACCTGTAATCCCAGCTACTCGGGAGGCTGAGGCAGGAGGATCACTTGAGCCTAGGAGTTCAAGACCAGCCTGGGCCACATAGTGAGACTCCATCTAAAAAGAAAAAAAAACCTGAGAGATTCCTCATTAAAAATTGATTCTAAAAAAGGAATTTCCAGCTTTCCTCTAAAAGTTAGGAGACCTAGCCTGGCACAGTGGGTCACATCTATAATCCCAGCACCTTGGGAGGCTGAGACAGGAGGATCGCTTGAGGTCAGGAGTTCAAGATCAACCTGGGCAGCATAGGGAGACCTCATCCCTACAAAAAAAAAATTAAAAAATAAAACAGCCGGGTTCGGTGGCTCAGCCTGTAACCCTACGCCTTTGGGAGGCTGAGGTGAGTGGATTGCCTGAGCCCACGGGTTCGAGACCCGCCTGGGCAGGGAGACCTCATCTCTACAATAAATCAAAAATCAGTCAGGCGTGGTAGCGCGTGCCTGTAATTCCGACTACTCGGAAGGCTGAGGCAGAAGGATCGCCGGAGCCCAGCAGGTCGAGGCTGCGGTGGCCGGGAGCAGCCACTGCACTCCAGTCTGGGCGACAGAGTGAGACACCGACTCAAAAAAAAATAAAAATAAAAATAAACAAAAGGTTAGAAGATCTGGGGACAGTGAGTCTGCAGCCTCCCTCAATAACAGGAGTTGGAGTTAAGCAGACTCTGCTCTGTCCCAGGCATTTGCTTTGGGACTCAGGCCTGGCCACTCCCATCCTCCCATTCACTTCTAGAACCTGCTGTCCCTGGAAGCATCCTTCCTTGTTCAGGATCCTGGTAAGCTGGACTTTGGATGAGCTAGGGGAGGTTCAGAGAGGTTAAGTGGCTTGCTCACAGTCACACAGTTGGAGCTGGGCCTGGCAGCCATGCCTGCCACCTGGTTCACCTGTTTTATCCCCACTCCACGGAGGACAAAAGGGAGACTCAGAGAGCAGGGCAGCAAATTGGCCCAAAGTCACCCAACCAGTGAGCACGGACCTGAGACCACCAGAACTGCCTTTTCAACATTGCCCTTCTTAATGGCTTTATGAACTGTCCCCAGACCCCCAGATTCCATCTCCCCTGAGACGGCCTCAGTGGGCTCCCGCCAGCAGCCTGGAGGTCTGCCAGGCAGAGGGGCTGCGGCTTTGGCTAGGAAAAAGGACACTGACAAGGCCTATCGGACGGAGGCCAGGGCAGCCTGAGACCAGAGCTTCCTGGTGCTTTGACACACAAAGAGCAGGGCAGGGGTGAGCGAGGGTTGCTACCACCCCACATCTGAGCTCCCGACCTGCAATATCCCTCCTGCAGCACCCCCCACCCGCCCGACCCATTCGTTCCGTCTAAAGTCCCAAATTGCACAGAGCTTGCTCACTGAGAACAGCTCTACGTTCAAGTTCAGGCTCAATCTTCTCTGCTCAGCAACGCCCCCCATTGCTGCGTGCACGTGGTCACAATACGTGCTAAGCTCTTAGTGCCGTGCCTGGTGCATGGGAGGTTCACCATGCAGGCCTGATGGCCGAATGGATCAGTGGGCCCCCATTTTACAGATAGGGAAACTGGGGCCCTGGGTCGCTCGGTATATAGCAATGCTGGGTTTGGTGCCAGGGTGCAATGGATCCCGGTCTGGGCTTTTGGCCACCATGCTGACTCCCCACTAGGCAGGCCTTTTGGGGGTGGGGGTGGAGCTGGAAGAGCCACCACCGGGCTTTGCTGGACTCCGACCATGGTGGCAGTCCCCTCTTGGGCTTTGTCAGAGAAATGGCTTTCCAGGAATGTCGTGCTCTGCAGGGGACAGGGGCCTCATGTCTCTGCTCCCCACACCACCCCAACACCTTGCTCAGTGTCCACGTGGCACTCTTTGGCCAGCAGGTGCTTGTTCTCCTCCCCCCCTCCTGAGGCCAGCAGGTAATGGCAAGGTTCAGGAGGAGGGGACAGGAGAGCCTCAACCTTCCAGAAGCCTCTTCGGGATTGTTAGGTTTGAAAGACTTTTCAAGCCCCCCCAACCTTTCTGAGATAACCACATTCACCAAATAGCCCACGGAAACCACAGGACAGACTGGCTGGCATTTATTGGGCAGACCCAGGGCCTCGAGGCTAGAGATTTGGGCTGAAGTGGGAGGAGGGAGGTGGAGTCACACGTGGAGACCCTGAACCTGGCCTGCAGGTGAAGGAGCCCTGAGCTGGTCACCCCCTGAGCCCTCTTCCAGGGGCTGCAGAGACTGCGTGCCGTTTCAGCCAGTGAGGCCACCCCCATCCCAAAGAGCACGGGGAACCTGCACCCAGGAATGTCGGCACCATCCCCAGGACTTGCCCTGTGCTATCTCAGGGAAGCCTCCTGGAAATCCTCTGAGGGGGCCACTGCCCTGCCCCCGTACTGGCGGAAAAACGGAGGGGCAGAAAATGGCTTTCCCAGAGCCACCTGAGCTGACAAGCTGTGGAGTCCAGGTCTGAACCCTAGGCTAGGAGCCCACCCTCTGCCAAGATCCTTGGGAATGGCTTCAGCTGAGTGGAGAGGCAGGGCGCATGGGTGCTGGTCCTGACCCTTTTCCAGACTGGCTTTGTTCACTTGGGTGGGTCTCCTGCCCGCTCTGGGCCTCAGTTTCCCCATTTCTAACAAGAAGCACTTATTACTGCTGTTTTCCAAAACTGTCGCCCCCTGACTAGGGTGAAGGTGCTGACATTCTCCGTGCGGATTTCCCGTGGTCTTTGGGACGGGGTGGCCTCATCACTGGCTGAAGAAGCACGGTCTCTCTGCAGCCCTGGACAGGGGCTCAGGGGATGGCCCGCTCACGGCTCCTCCACCCACGGGCCAGGCTCAGGGTCCCCATGTTTGACCTCACCTCCCTCCGCCGACTTCAGCGCAAATCTTCAGCCTTGAGGCCCTGGGTCGAGGCAAACTCCCCCCACCCCTCAACCCCCCAACCGCCGAGAAATAGCAGTGCCAAAGGTCCCAAGAGGCCCCCGGGAAGCCCCCGACTAGGCCGGTGACCTGGGAGGAGAGTCGTCTGGCTCTCCGCACAGCCAGGGCCTCCCGGGGACGGGGTGCGACGTGCCCGCGTGGCTGGGACAGCCCCACGCCCTCGGGAACCCCCAGGGTATACGGACCGGAGTGTGGGGAGGGGTCCGTACACCGGACAGGCGCCGGGACAGGCGCAGCGGGGCGGCCCGGGCGCCGAGCGTGGACGTGAGGGGCGCGCGTGCGGCGCGATCGCGGGTG